GTTTCGAAGACAAGAAATTCCTCAATTATTCTCTTTCTTTCTTTCTTTCTTCTTCTTCTATTCACCTTACTGTTCATTTATTTTTATATTTTTCTGTTCCCCCTTTCGTTCTTTACTGCTTGTCGATTTTTCTTTTTCTTTTTTCTTTCTTTCTTTCTTTTCTTTTTCGATGACGTGACATATTCGACAATTATTTTCCTCGTCTATCATTTTCTTTATTGTCCTGTTTCTTTTACATTTTTTTCTATTCTCTCTTTCGCTCTTTGTTGTCTCCTGCTTTTCTGTCCTTCGATCCTTCCTCCTTTGTTTCTCTTTCTTTCTCCATTCTCCATTTCATTCTGTATTGCTTTCCGCTCGTCTCCTTTATTTATCAACTGTTCTTTTTACCTCTCTTCGTTTAACCATTTAATCATTATCCCGTTTCCCTTAATCTTTCATTCTCACCGTTTTTTTTCTTTTCTCTCTTCTTTATTTCTTGTTCATTACTTATTTTTCTTTTTGTTTTTTCGTGTCTTATTCTCCCTATTATCACGACTCTGTTCCCATGCCTTATTTCGCTCTTTGTTGTTTTTTATTCCGTTTTTCTTCATTATTTCGTTCCTTCTTCCTTTCTCTCTCTCGCCATTCGCACTCTTCCCCCCCCCCTTCTTCATCTCCCTTTTCTGTCTGATTTTCCGATTCTCCCATTCATCTATTCTTTCTTTGGTCTCTACCTCTTTTTCCTTCTTTATTCTGCTCCTCCTTTCTTCCTCTTTCTCTCTCTCTTTTGATTCATTCGTCAATATCCCCCTCCCCTCCCCCCCTTCCCCCCCTCTTTCCTCTTTGTCTTTACCTGTGAACGTATTTCTTCGACTGCACTCAGGAGGAAGAAATGAGAGGAAGATAATGAAAAAACACATGAATGCTTTACCTCCCTCCTCCTCCTCCTCCCTTCCTCAATTCCTCTCCTCCTCCCCCCTCCCTCTACTCCTACCCCCGTCCTCTCCACGTGACTCATTATGTTGGGTCGCGGCTCCTCTCCCTCTCTCCCTCCCTCCCTCCCTCTCTCCTTCCAGGTCCTTCTCCCTCTCCTTCCTTCCCCCCCCCCCACGTCTTCTACTTTCTCAATGCCTCCCATTCCTCCCCCCTCCCCCTCCACCCCTCCTTCTCTTCCTCCCCCCCACCCTCCCTCTCTCTCTTCCTCTCTCTCTCTCTCTCTCTCTCTCTCTTTCCTCTTTCTCTCTCTCTCTCTCTCTCTCCCTCATCCTTCCCCCTCTCCCCCTCCCTTATCTCTCTCTCTCTCTCTCCCTCTCCTACCCTCTCTCCCCTCCCTTTCTCTCTCTCTCTCTCTCTCTCTCTCTCTCCTCTCTCTCCACATCTCTTCGCGTCCATTGTTCTCTCCACTTTCATCGAAGAAGAGAAAAAGAGAGAAGAGAGAGAGAAAGAGAGAGAGAGAGAGAGAAGGAGAGGGAGGGAGGAGGGAGGGAGGGAGGGGGGGGAGGAGGAGGGAGGGGAGAGAGAGAGAGAGGTGAGCAAGAGAGAGAGAAGAGACGAGAGAGAGATAGAGAGAGAGAGAGAAAGAGGGGGGGGGGAGAGTGAGAGAGAGATCATATGTTTATGCATACTTCCCCTCTTCCATCAATCTGTCCGAAGATGTTACCTTAATACTGGTTTCTCTCTCTCTCTCTCTCTCTCTCCTCTCTTCTCTCTCTCTCTCCTCTCTCTCCTCTCTCCTCTCATCTCTCTCCCCTCCCTCCTCTCTCTCTCTATCTCTCTCTCTCTCTCTCTCTCTCCCGTCCTGCTTATCTGCCTTCCTTCTCCTTAATTCATTCTTTCACTTGTCCTTGACCTCTCCCTCTCCCTCTCCCTCTCCCTCTCCCTCTCCCTCTCCCTCTCCCTCTCCCTTTCACTCTCATCACCAAGTTCTCTCTCCCTCTGTTTATTTGTGTCCGAAGCTGTACATCCAGACGGGCCGTCACAGCACACCCGCCATCATGCACACAGCGGAGGCATCGACTGGTTTATAGATTCCGATCCTATCCTGGTTTACGGCGCCTATACACAAGGAGCCGCGTGAATTCACTTCGAAAGAGGTGAGAGCAGGATCCAGGGGCATCATTAGCGGAATTTGAATATATTAGCCGTTATCGGACGCATCCCCCGACTCGGCTGGGCGTCATTGAGGTTCAAGACTGCGTAAATTCTGACATAAAATTTGATATACAATTGCAATAATCAATGGAGAACGAACCGTGCGCTGCACTTTATATTATGAAGTGATTTTTTCTCCCTCTCTTTTCCCCAAAACTTGATCACTTTACAGAAATATATTGTGGGAACATTCGCACTATGTTTATGCACGCAGCTGAACTGGAATGTAAGTTCCGTGAAGCAGATAAACTTGCGGGTGTGTGTAAAGGACACTGCTTTGTCGAAACGATACACGTAAAATACATAATTCAACAGCCCTGTCTATGCACAAAAATATATATCACTGTACTAACAGACAGACGCACGGAAACCGTGATTTTGTTATAAACTTTATTCAAGAGGATTATTTACCTATTATCACTGTTGTTATTGTCGTGTTATACCTCCCTACATATATATACATAAACAGACCCTCAGTGTAGAATACAAATAAAAACAGACGTGTTTGTGCGACAAAAGATAAAAATCACATTAATTAGTACCTTTTCTCTCGCTCCACCTCTGCTCCTCCTCCCCCCCTCCCCCTTCCCCCCTCCCCTTTGTCATCCACATTGCCTTTATCTCTGCTTTCATAACCTCTCCACGCCCCCTGTGCTCACTTCCTCACGCCCTTTGCTCATGCACTCGCTCCCACGTATTTCCAATCGTCCCATTTCATCTCAGGCCTAAATTACACTCGATTTGTCTGACCGACTTCATCGCGTACTCAAGTTACCCGGCCCAAATACACCCTTGAATTGTCTCCATTACTTATACCTCATACTCATTTACCCACCCTAATACCCCTTAGCCTTCCCCATTATGTGCATCCATCCCCATTAACTGCACGCCTCACACTTATCTCGGCGGTTCGTTCCTTAATATGGTACCTATTTCATCCCATTACTCCATTTACCCTTTATCAATGTCTGTTTCATACTTCTCTTTACGTAACCCCTCTTTCTATCTACCCCTCTCTTTCTATACCCCTTTTTTTCTCTTTTCTTACCCCTGTTTCCATATCTCTCTTCTCCTTTTTTATCTTTCCCATACCCCTCTATCTAGACCCCTCTTTCCATTCCTTGCACCTCCCCCTCCTCCCCCACCAAGCCTCACCGATATCCCCCCCCCCCCTTAACAGACCCCCACCCGACCACATCCCCAACACCCCCCAACTTCGAACTCTCCCCAACCGTTTATTCCAATTTCCATGAACGCTGCCCCTCCCCCCACCCCCCACTCCACCCCAATACCCCAATCATACCCCTACCCATCCCCCCCACCAACACCCCCCACCCCCCAACATCTCCTCACCCACGCGTATCGCTTCACACTCTGCCAGGCACATTCGTCGCGCCGGCAGAGGAGAGACTCGGCTGCTGACCTCCTCCTCCCCCCCCTTCCCCCCGTTCCCTCTTCCCCACCCCCATTCCCCCTCCTTCTCCTTTCCCCACTCCCCTCCTCCTTCCCCACCCTTTCCTCCCTCCCTCCCCTCCCCTCCCCTCCCAACCTCTTCCCCCCCAGAGCCTCCATCTGCTAACCCCCCCTCCCCCTCCCCTCCCTCCAGACACCCTCTCCCCTTCCCCCTCCCTCCTCTCCCCCCTCCCCCCTCCCCCCCTGGAATATTCCCGACTGAATTCTATCCACAGTTTGGAATCTTCTGTTTAAATAAATCGAGGAGCGGCGCAGGGCTCTTCGGGGAGGCCGGGCGGCGGGGAGGCCGCTGCCTGCTGGTGTCGCTGCGGGCGGGGGGAGGGGGGAGGGGGGAGGGGGCGTGGGGAGGGGGAGGGGGGAAGGGGCCAGGGGAGTACTCTATCTTGCATTCTTGACGTTTTCAAGCCTGTGTTGAACATGTGCATACACACACACACACACACACACACACACACACACACACACACATATATATATAAATATATATATATATATATATATATATATATATATATATATATATATATATATATATATATGTGTGTGTGTATATACATACATATATATATATATATACATATATATATATATATATATATATATATATATATATATATATATATATATATATATATATATATATATATATATGTGTGTGTGTGTGCGTGTGTGTGTGTGTGTATGTGTATGCATATAGATAGACAGATAGATAGAGAGAGAGAGAGATAGATATGTGTGTGTGTGATTATTATGTATTGTGTTTGTGTGTGTGTGTGTGTGTAGGCGTGTGTGTGTACGTGTAGGTGTGTATGTGTGTGTCTGTGTGTCTGTGTGTGTGTGTTTGTACGTAGATATATGTGTGCGAACTCTCCCTCTAAGACCCCTCCCCTCCCCCCCCCTGTTGCAGATCTGTGACCCCGGCTGAACTCCCCCCCCTCCCCCCTCCCTCCCTCCTCAGACCTACAGCCTTCGCAATACAACAGCAAAAGATACAGGACTCTCCAGGAGCCCTAATCAGCAGGACAAACGGAAATCACAAGACAAACGAGGCCAGATGACATGGACGAGTCACGTACTGACATGCACATGATTATGACCGCTTGTCATGGCCCTGAGGTCGGGTTCGGGGGAGTAGGTGGGGGAGGGTGGGGAGAGGGGGTTTGGAATTGGGGAAGGGGGAAGGGAAGGATATATATATATATATATATATATATATATATATATATATATATATATATATATATATATATATATATATATATAAGTGTGTATATGACGATGATGATGATATTGAAAATTAAGAACACGAAGATGAAGATGACGAGGATGATATGTATGATGATGACGATGACGACGGAGTTGAATATGACGGTGATGACTGAGAACCTGGTACTTACTGGATGGTGTGGCGTGGGCGTGGGCGACCAGCAGGACCGCCAGACTTTGCAACAGAACCCGGCGAGC